ATTTGAGTAATAACGACCGTTCAGCACCAAGTGCTCACTCTCACCCTCACCCTCACCCACCCTTACTCTACACAGCCTCACCCTCAGATCTCCAAATAATTCAGTTCATAATCGAACGACAAAAAAATTGTTCTGATCATCGTTATCGAAGTGAATAATCATTCGACTTTCCTGATCGGCAAAAAGTCATATTGAAAAGTGTCTAATGTCGGAGTCGCTCAAATGTCGGTCGCTCAAATGTCGGGGTCGCTCAAATGTCGGGCGCTCAGATGTCGGCGCTCAAATGTCGGGCGCTCAAACGTCGGTTGACGCATTTTTTTTATAAATCAGGACTAACGAGTTAGCGAAAGACAGATGACGAAAAAAACAATTACCTTGGAAGAAAAATAAATAGACAAACTCGTAGTGTCACAATCTAATTTTCTTTTATATTAAGACGGAAAATCAGTTCAATGTCAACAATAATGGATGATGAAACAGTTCCTGCACAATAGCTGAGACATATATCTCTTCGTTCTTGACGAACTTCTTGAACGTTTTCAAAATAGCCGTTTAGGTGAAACATAACGACAAATAAAAATTGCCCGGAAGACGTCTTACAATACGGAAAAAATTGACGAGGAAACCTCTCCAGGTGATAAAACGCTTTTTGCTCGGAATCTAGTGAATTATAGGTTATTGGCTATGCTGATTACGAATATGACCGCGGGGATAGCCCTTAGCCCTTCAACGACTCGGTTTTCTAGAAAACCAGTTTTTCAGAAACTCTAAAATATAACAAGAACTCTTCTCAATGAGGCATGATTGTATCCCGCAAATTTCTGATTAAAATGAAACATTCTCCAGCTTTACACGACTTTTCTTTGCAAAGTTATAGAATTTACAAGAAAAGTCCTAAATGTTCATTGTCAGCTCAAAACTACAAAAATAAGAAGAAATTAATTTACGGACAGTCTTTGAAGGGCTATGGGCTATCCCCATGGTCATATTCGTAATCAGCATTGTCGATAACCTACAATCCACTAGATTCCGAGCAAAAAGCGTCTTATCACCTCGAAAAGTTCCTTCATGAGTATTGTCATTATGAGTTTGAAATAAAACTTGTTTCTCAAATAGAGCAAAATGCAGCACTTGAGAAACTATGTTGCAATACATTGTTCTAACAACCAGAGCGTTAGTTTTAGTGACACGAAAAAACGTTTGAAAAAATAATGTTTAACATCAAAAACTAATATTATATTTTTTTATAATATATAAGTTTGAATTAGTTTGCAAAGTCTAGCAAAACTTCAGACTGGCTCAAACGAATATTCCTCTGCGTGGACTATACGTGCAGAATTAGCGCCGTTCTTTCTGGATTCTCCATTCAAATTTTCCAGAAAAACTTGATTTTTCAAGTAAAATCTATTTTTTTCTACCCGGGAACATTTGTATTAAAGAAACAAAGTGATTAAAAGTTTTCATAAATAATGAAAAGTTCTGTGAACACATAAACTATAAGTGAACAAAATTATCGTAAACATAAAAGTACTTCAGCTTTCTTTCTGTTCATATAACATTGAAAGTCTATTTTTCTCCTGTTTTATATTTCACAACTCATCGCATTTATTTTTTAAAAAAATGTCTGATAAAAAGCAAATATAAAACATACTAATTTGAGAAATGACCGAAAACAAAATAATACAAAAATACACAAATACACATTATAATAAAACAAAATAAGTTGCGCATTTATCAATTATTTTAATAGAACAAACAATTATTCTATCTTGTATCAAAAAAAATTTCTACTGTATTTTTGTTATCTAGCAAGTAAAAGATTTCCTGAGTATATTTAATTATAATAATAAATCATCATACTACAGTAGAATTATATGATGTATTTTTCTGCATTTCTGTTGATGGTTCATAATTATTGGTAATACTTTGAGTATAAGAATCATTTAGTGGAGAAGAAAACGTGGATACTTTATTGAATAGACTAGAATGTGATGATGATGATGTATCATCATCAGAACGTGACATTTTATTAGTGTACGATGTGGGCAACATAGTCAGTCGATGTAATGTTCTTGTATTGTCATTATTTCTTTCATCACGTGTCATATAAAGTTTTTCAAAACGTTCAAATGCATAATTAGCAACTGTATCAGACTGAGACATAGTTCTATTTGTATTAATATGTTGTTTAAAACAATTATACGGACTATTTTGTGAATAAATAAATGGTGTATTTTTTGTATCTAGATCTGTTTCGAGATTAAATCGTACACGCCGAGATTTTAAATCTTTTTCATCGATAGTCGAATTTTCTGTTATTAGTCCTAATGAACCAACAGTATTATGAGAATTAGTGTTATCGAGACGATTTAATAATGATGAATACGATGGAGATGTCTGTGTTACTGTTGAAAGACGATCTAGATTACTGTTCGATTGTTTTACTAATATACCCTCTTTCATTAGTGTATAAGGCACAGAATTTGGACTAACTGGTGAATAAGCATTTGTTGAAATTGTTCGTGGTCTCAGCTGTTCTGGACAATCATCAGAAATATCACTTGAACCACAAAATCCATCATCAGAACTAGCTCGAGTACAATCCGGTTGTTGATTTCCACTACCAACAATGGCTACCGTATAATGAGGTCGAAGTAATTCTTTTGGAATGTCTTGATTTTGTCTTGTAGATGAACACACTTGATTCATATTTAAAATTCGAGATGATGATGATTATAAATTTGAATTACTATTAAATGGTATATTAGTAGATGTTGTCGTAGTAGGAGCTGGTATTCGTGTTAAAGAATGAAATGTATTGACATCATGTGGAAATACAGAGGCTGATTTAGTCATTGATCCAGTGGAATTTAGCAGCCACGATGCATATATCTAAAATAAAATAAAATAAATCAATAATGATATTTTATTTATTTATCAAAATTTTTCTTTTCTTACTTTTTGTCGTTGTTCATCTGATTGATCATTTTCTTGTTCATTTAATTTTTCTAATAGACAACAAGCATCATAGTTATTATTTGTCGATGTTATCATTGGTATTGTTTCTTTATTTCGTAATAGTAACGATGTCGGTGAATTAGATGTAGTGCCTGTTGTGGCCGTCATTGTATCTCCAAAATCATAACAATTACTAACTCTTAAACTTTGACGTTTATCCGATGAACTACGATTTTGTTTAAACATTGCCGATAATAATGAATGTTCTGACTGTAATGATGATGATGGAAGAATATTACCGTAAGATGATGTTGCTGATCCTGTCAACGATGATGTTGTCTGTTGTTGATCACCATCACTACTTGTTGTCAACATTTTATCATGTTTTTTTCGTCTTAAACGATTTCTTCTTAATAACGATATAAATATGAATGTCATACCAATTAATATAATACTTAGAACAACGATAACAATAATTGTAATAAATTTATTTGGTAAACTATTTAATAATAAATGATTTTGTTCATCATTTGATATCTTTTTTTTAATATTATCATTTAACATTTTTTCATATGCTTCACGTACTTGTGGATTATTTAAATGACTACCCAAATAATCATATTTTTTTACAACCATTTGTATATCTTGATAATTATTTATAACAATTAATTTTAATAATTTTTCATCAAAAAAATCATTACGTCCTTTATCAATCACTTTAAATGCCAAATAGTAGACACCTTCTTTTAAATCTTGATAATAACTACGTTTTAATATTCTTTTAGTACCATTTCTCACCTCATCTGTTACATTAAAATATAAACGTGAACCATCAAGATAAAATTTGTCCGAATCAAATTTAGAAAATTTTAATTTATCTTTTAAATATTCATAATTAACAAGTTGATTTAGATCTGTTATCAAATTTAATTCATAATTTGAATGATGTGCTTGATCACCATCTATTACCAATATATCACAAATAAAATCATTTATATGCCAATACGTACGATCAATAATTAACGTATCATTATTATTATTTGGAAACAAAAATTTTGGACATTCATCATTAACACTAAAATATTCAAATAATATTTGTATAAGTAAAATTATTCATTATTTGATTTTTAGTAGAGTAAAATCATAAATAATGATCAAAACGAGTTCAAAGGTATTCTTCTATCAGTATGTTCAAAGTGTTCGAAATCGAACAAAGTAAAAATATTTTTTTTCGATTAGTCTACTGGACGTTCTTTGGTACAAAAAAAAAATACAAATACTTTTTATGAAAAAAATGTTTGAATAGATATCGAAATAATTTGTTCTACTCATAGTCATTCTATTGTTTAAAATCGGTTCGATTTCTAATATTCACTTTGATACAGAGTTCACTCAATTCTACTATTCTATGTTTTTTTATCATAAAATAATTAACTTACTCATAAATTTTTAAATGTATTTTTGCTTTAGATGACAATGATATTGGTTGACCACGATCAGATGCAATAACATTAAAATTATATTCATCAAATTTTTCACGATCAATCATTTCGTTGACATATAATTTACCATCTTTAGTTATTAAAAATAAATTAGATGGAATTGAATCTAAACGATATTGTACTTCACCATTTAAACCATTATCTAGATCAACAGCTTTTACTTGACCAATATACGTATTAGGTGAATTATTTTCATAAATTGAAAATGTATAAGTAGAAGTTGTAAACTAAAAGTATATAAAACATGATTTTATTGTATGATTTAATATTGTAACTAGAATTCATTAGATTTTTTGAGAAATATCTGTTCTATGTATTTGTTACAAGAAAAAAAAGTTTAAACTTATAAGTGACACTAAATTGAGTAATCTAGAAAATACGATACAACTATTTGTGTCTTTTCAACGATGCTTAAAAAACACTTCTTTTTCACCATTTAACTCTTTTTTATTCAATAGATAAATAGATAGATCAAATATTATTGTATAAAATGAGACGGTTCACATGTTGAGGAGATCTGTAGTGAACGCGTTCCAACAATTTTTCTAGATGTCTCAGAAAATAGTTAGATATAACTGGTGCATATCTAACTCCATCAGACAACATTGAAGTTTTTCAATTAATAATTCAACTTACCTGTGGTATATTGTCATTTTCATCAATGACTGCTACATTCACAATTGTGCTAGCCTGATGAGATTTTGATTGACCATTATCACTGGCAACAACTTTAATCGAAAAATTTTTTAATATTTCATAATCAAATTGAATACTAGCTCGTATGATGCCCGTATACGAATCAATCCATACAAAATGACTAGGACCAAGTGTAGTTGACGTTTGAGATGTTGTTGAAACAATGGTATATATAATTTGTCCATTGTGTTTTATATCTAAATCTGTTGCATGTACTTGTATTAATGTTGCATTAATCTCATTATTTTCTTTAATATCAACAAAATATGTATTAGAATCAAATATTGGTGAATTATCGTTATCATCTTCAACTCGAATATGTAATTTATATGTTGTGGATAATTGTGGTTCACCATTATCTGTTATCGTCACCACTAAATCATATATAGATTGTATTTCACGATCAAGAACATGAGCTGTGACTAGAACAAATGTTGAATCAAATGGACCTAATATTTGAAAATGATTTGTTGATGATGAAGATTTCTTTGACTCTAATTTGAGTGTAACTCGAAATGGAGGTATCGGCATTCCATTAGCATCAACAGATGATTCTAATGGTGATGTATCAAGATCGGATGCCACTAAATTAGCTATAACAAATCCAACTGGTTTATTTTCTGGTACACTAATTATTAAAATATTATTTGTTGATGTTTCATTTGTAACAATAGTTGTAGTTAAATTATCAATAAGTTCATCTAATGATATTTTATCATTTAATATTTGAACAGTTGTGGGTATATTCCAATTTAATATTGGCGCATTATCATTCAAATCTTCAACATCGATAATAACATAAGCAAAAACGGGTATCGAATTGGGTCCATTATCTTGTGCTTGTATTACTAATTTCCATAAATTTTGTGTTTCATAATCTAAAATTTTTGTTAAACTTAACCAACCTGTTTGAGAATCAATTTTAAAATAATCAAAATTTTTTTTTGAATTTTGTGTTGCTAATGAATAACGTATTTGTCCATTTATATCAATATCTCTATCAGTCGCTTTTACTTGTAAAAAATTATTCCATAAACGATTTTCTGCTATTTTAATTCTATATGTTGTCTTTTCAAATTGACATGTATTATCATTAATATCAAGAATATTAATAATAATAATTGTTGATGTTTTACTTTGTAAATTTTCATTTGCTTGTAATTTTAGACGATATTGATTTTGTTGTTCACGATCAATATCTTGTTGAACAATAAGATTTAATTGATTTGTATGATTTATTAATTGTTGTAATTTAAATGGAAAATAATCATCATCACGAATTAATGAATTATTTAAATAGTATAATTCATAGTGTATAGGATCACAATCATGATCAATTGCTTTAATACTATCTAATGGAATATTTGTTCCTAATTGAACATGTTCAGTAACATTAATGATATATTCTTTATATTTAAAATAGGCTAAATTATCGTTAATATCTAAAATACGTATGGGTAATAAAAAAACACTTGTATTTTGTGATAATACAATTTCAATTTTTAATGTAATATTACACAATTCACATGATGATGTACATAGAGTTTCACGATCAATTCTTGTACGTGTTGTCAATTGACACTGTTGATTTGATTGTATATGAAAATAATTATTTTCAGTTTGTAATAAACAACGATAAGATTTTAAATTAAATAAATTAAATTGTTTACGAAAATCAATAATCATTGTACCAATTGGTAATTCTTCTTCAATATCAATAGCTGGTAATGAAACAAATTCACTATGACTTAACGATATTAAAATAAATAAAATCAATAAATTCTTCATTGTCATATTGAATCAATAATTATTTATTCTGATATGAACACATCTAAAAAAAAATAATAAATATAATTAAATATGGAGACTATGATTGAATTAGTCATATTTCAAGGATAATTATTTTTTGAATATATAATCCTGATGATTGTGGGAGATGACTGTTCTATAATTGACTTAAAAATATTTAGAAAGAAGAACGATTGCGATCTTTCTTATAGTAAAACATTTTCAACAATATTTACCTTAAAGTATTGAAAACCATAAGTGAAATTGTCTTGAGGATGAGAGTGAATAAAAAATATTCTAGTAAAAACAAGGAAATGAAAAGTGATCTATCTTGCTCTCTCTCTCTCTCGTCATTTAACATTAGTTCATATAAACAGACATTCATATTTGAAAGAAAACATCGTAAATAACATGTCATTTTATACTTTTGAACTCTTTTTGAAGTCAACAGTTTATTTATATATATATGTAAAAAACAAATTAAGCTTTAGTGTGTCACATAAATCTTAATTGAAATATTTTGTACATGTGATTTTCAAGGTTAAAATGCATAAAACAGATGGATAGTATGAATGACAACAAAACATTGTGCTAATGATATTCACTTTCCGTTTTCCGTTTTGTCTTCTACAATACTTAATCTCAATTTACAATGGTAGTTTTCAAAGAGAAAATGAAAAATAAAATATGGTAGACAAATAATGTGAGATATGATTATTATTCTTATACGAGAATATGAACTACTGCTGTTGATGAAATTAGTTGGAACAAAAACAACTTGTCCACAGTTGTTTATATAAAAAAAAAAAGAAGAAGAAATGTATCTAATTTCATCTTTTGTTCGTGTGTGCTTTATATGCTTCCTTTGAAGTTTAATGTTTTTTCTATTAGACGATGACCCCGACGATGGTGAGCCGACACTAAGGGTATAATTGTTTAAAAACAAAAAAAGGAAGTAGTAATTGTTTTTAATGGTATAATGCCAATCAGGAATAATACATCTTCTATGATATATAGAGAGATATATAAATAATTAAATGATGAATCGCAATGGGAATAAAATCATCGACACCAGATGAAATCAAAAGAGAGATAAAGCTCTCTTTATTCTGAACTCAGTGTTTTATTAACTTGCACATTTTTTTTTTCTATTATAATCAAATTCAATCATTTTGTTTGTGAATAAGAGATCGATCATCCAACTACCACAGTATACCATAGAGATCTGTAAAAGTTGTTTCACTTTTAAAGCAAACGAGTAGTTTCGTGTAGATGTTGTTGATATTCAACAAAATATGCGTCGATTCATGACGAGATAAATCATTTTTTTTTTGTATTATGTTCCAGTAAATATATGGTACTATTTTTTCCTTTTTATTTCTTTTTTATTAACTCTCCATACATCTAAACTATTGAACTAACAATAGAACTTTGACCTTCACAAAGGTGTTGTTACTTCTTAATCAAATAAGGATAAAAAGAGCAAGAAAATTTAGAAAACAAAGATCTTCAAGAGTTAAATCTGAATTATATATCTGTGCTATAAGAATATTTTTCTCTGGTGGTGATGGTGATAATGATAGTGGTCAATAAACAGATTACGTTGAAAATAAAACCCATATACACATGTATATATCGGTTAGAATGATTCTCAAGTGATTTATTATTCATCATTTTTACTCACTTTTACTTTTTTTTCAATCATCTTCATCTAAGAAACTCTCTGTTTTGATAACAAAGAAAAATAATTAATGAGTCCACACATATACGTATGAGCAAACCTTGAGAGTTTATTATAATATGATAGAGTAATTGATTGTTCAACGAAAAAAAGTTTCAGGGGTGATAGAAGATCACAGTATAATGAGTGATCTGTATTATGTATTAAAAATAAAAAGAATGAGGATTTTCAGTTAATATACTCTAGATGAAGATTAACAATGTTTTAATTAATCTCACATATTTGACAGAGATAAGAGAATGAAATAATTATGTGTCAATTTTAATACATAAAAATGTATGCTATTGGACAATCTCATCTCACATCTTAACAGTAGACCAACAAAAAGACACAGATGGAAACAACAACATTTTTAGTTTCCAACAGAGAAACACAGTTGAATCAATTATAACAGATTTTCAAAAGATTATGTGGTGTGAGACGAAGACCACTGTCCATAAAGGTTATATGCCCTCGAGTATCACTTGCAATTCCATCATCGAAACATACAAAATTAACTATGAAGCGCTATATCCTGTTGTTGTTCATTTTTTAATCTATACATCTGTTACCACATACAGTTAATCGAAAATGCATAGATATAGATTAAAAAAATTAAAACGATTCTATGATGATATCATTAAATTAAAATATTAAGAAACTTGTGATGAATACATAAACAATCTATACAAGGCACAATGTTAGTTTATTAAAATATTGATCAAAACGAGTGAGAGATAGATTGAGAACTATATTAAGTATAATTCGACATAAAGCTATACTAAGCAAAAATATCTTAACATAGATCAAGGGACGAACGAAAGACGACTATACTGAAAGTTGTGCTTAGTCTAGTAAAAATCCGTTTAAGTTTCTTGACAGAACTCGAGTCATATCCTACTAGAATTTCTCTTTGATTTCTTAGGATCCTAACAAAATCCTAATGAAATCAGGTATATCCGAAAGTCATAGCATTTTCTAAGATTCTGTTAAGATCCTAAGAAATGAAAGCAAAATTCTATTAGGATCCTAGCATTTTAGAATCCTGTCAGGAAGTTTTAGGTGGATCCTAGATGTTAGGATCCTGTAAGATCCTAGTAGGAAATAGACAGGAACTACGTAGAATTTTGTCTAGAATATTCGTAAATAAATCCATCAGAAACTTGTGTTGCTTTTCAGAAATAAGCGTGCTGTATTCTCACCCATCACTACACAAAACTCACAATAAGGCATGTTTAATGATTTTTTGTCTACGGGATAACTTTTATATTTTCTAGCACCTACTGCTTATCTGCAGTAAAAAAAATAGAACTGTTTCAATATTATTTGCATTGATAATATAAATGATTTATAGATGTTGTCTTTAGTAATATTGCGTGATTAAGAAAACTAGCATGACAATAGTGTTCTACTTTGATTTTTTACCTGCTTAAGTTACATTGTGGTAAATATTTATCAGTCTTGTTAATCATTATAGTAAGATCGTGTCAATAATATTTGCATGAAGTTCTTTCGACAAATCTTGTTCTATCGGAATATGAATCTCGAGTTGTAAATTGAATGCCAGTGTGATGAATTGAACCTATCAATGTTGTTGCATTCTCTAGTTTTGTATCGTTTTTTACATACAATACACACACACACACAGATAATAAATTACGCTTCATTAGAAGAGAGAAAAAAAGTAATATTACATCTTTATGAACAATTACGTAATAATTTATATATCGACGAAAATTTTATTAAACCATTTTACAAAAAAAATTATGTTCAACTCACTCTCTTTCTCTCTCTTTCCTGTGTTGGATGATGATGCTGATGATGTCGATGGCCAAATCTTTCGAACAAATGAAAACTGATTCTTTTGTGTCACAGAATAATCGACATTAGAACCGTTGTGATCAGGAGGGATATCATCTATCGAATATCGAAGAAAAGAGAAAAAAACCTAGAAGTGTCTGTTTAATATATTCTCGCTCTCTCTCTCTCTCTATATATATATATATATATATATATATATATATATAGTTGTGAATCAAAACTAAGAGAAAGGAAGAGAAATAGTAATGTTCATCACAGTAAACGAAGATGTAATTGTACACATTTCATTGTCTTTCTCAACGAATAATTTCTATTGCAGCTGTTGTAAATTTAAAGTTCTTTTTTTATCTATTATTTCATTTTGTCTTCTTATCCGGTTAAAAATTATATTCTGTCACACAATGACATTACAGCAAACAATTGTTGTTTATCAGACCGATCCTTTAATCATAAAGACAACTTCCATCCTTTGACAGTATATCTACTATATCGAAAAAGATAAAGGATTTGAAGATGGAATAAGAAAAGTAATATGCGCGAAGTCCTGGTTTCTATCATTTTCTATGGTGTATGTATCTATTAATTTCAGCATTATTTATGGCACTTTTCGACGAACTACTTTATAGTACGTTTTCTTATAATGACATTATCAGATCAATACTGTTTTTTTTAGGTACAGTTATCTGTACTGTTTTTACCTCTCTCTTTCTCCACACATATGAATAACAAAGTGCATTCCTCGGTTAAAGATCAAAGATTCACATTGTAATATATGTCGTGCTAATTTGTCTGATAAATACATCAAAAAATGTGCACATAAGCATCATGCTGTTATTACAATAAAATCACCTTTTTTGTGAATTAAATTCGTATAATTAATGACCAAGTACGTACAACAGTAAAAAACGATTATCTTTTCTAAATTATTTATTCGATCTATTTGAACTGTTTTTTTAGCAGAATAAACAGAACGACTCAATTAGAAACACGCATATGACTCAGTCAGATCTAACGAACAACAAATCAGATGTCACATCTCGTTTCAGCTGGCTCATCAAAACGGTTCTAATTTATTTTTCGTCTTAATTCGAATAAAAAAATTCGTTATAAAGATGAATTATATAATCTAGAAGGATTTTACAATATATTCAAAATAGTTTGTAGAAAATTATGTTGGCTTCAGAATAAGATACACTAGAGAATGTATTATTTCTTGTTTTGGAAAAAAAAAATTGTATTTGTCATCATTTCTTAACACATACTTAATTTTTCGAAAATCTTAATACAGACAACTTAGTACTCATTGATGAGACACATAGTGACAGATAGAGTTTGTAGGACAACTGATTTTGACACCCTGCTTGATACAAATTTTGAGAGCCTTTTATCTGATTTGTCATACAAGCAGACCTAGGTCAACATGCACATTTCTATTAGCAAGAGACCAACTGGATCTAAG